GCACCAATGCACCCCCATACCATCACAGATACTGGCTTTTTGAACTGTGCATTGATAACAAACCAGATGTTCCCTCTCTTCTTCAGCTCAGAGAACAGGGTGTTATATTTTATTTCATCAGACCTCAGGACAGTGACCTCGGTCCCAAAGCTGGCGGCTGCGTTTCTGGATCCGGTTTATACTGTATACATTTTCTAAAATGTCTTTTTCTTTTGTCTAAAATGTGTGTATGCAGCGATTAAATGTGTTCACAGACAATGCTTTTAGGACACAGTGTTCCTGAGCCAATGCAGTGATGTCCATGACAGAATCATATCTGTTTTTAATGCAGAGTTCTCTGAGGACCCAAATAACCGGTCTTTCCAATATTGTTTTTGGGCTTGTCCCCTAAATCCTTTTCTTCAGATTATCTGAATCTTATAATGATATTATGTATTGTAGATTGTGAAATCAAAACCTTGCCTGCCTTTTGTTGCCACTGACCCAACTTTTTTTTCTAAAGTTATCAGCATCAAATTTATAAAGGTAAACTCCTGCACTGTCTTACTTGCAAACAAACGTTTATTGGCAGCGTTTCGCTACTAAACCTTCATCAGGTAAAAACAGTTTTCACATATGCAGTCCTGAAAATATCTAGATCATTTCAGGAGAGAAACCCGGGTGAAGTCCGAGTGAAAAATTCCTTAATTCCTCAATTTTTTGACAGACAAATTGCTCTCTTACGCCCCTGTCTTATAAAATGGATGTGCAAAGGTTTTTTCTATTTTTAATCATCATCAAATTAAAAATGGGCATATCATTTTCCAAGAACAATGACATTGATCTGTTTCAACATTTGATATGTTGTTTTTGTGCTTTTTCAATACATATTGTGGTTTTAATGATTTGAAAATTATTTTATTTACATTTTAAACAACATCCCAACTTTTCAGGATAAGGGGTTGTACATACTTTGTTCCCCATTTCAGTATCCCATTTGGGTATTTATTAACTATAATAATCACAAGACATTATTAGTATTTGTAGCATACAACAGGGTATACAAGTGAGGCTTTACTGTCAGCCAGGTGGAAAATGTGTAATTACCCCAGAGCCTCTGAAAGAGCATGGCTGAATTTATTTTATTATGTCGCACTGAGGCCTCACATCTCCCAGGTGTCTCAGTGACCAGCAAATTAATAGAATTAAAAACTGCAGTGAGGTGTTCATGGAATGTAGGACAGTTGGCCACTCTCTCTGGAGAGAGAGATTTCAGTGGTTGGCCTGTTCTCTACCATGAGTGTGTTAATTATTTGCTACAAAGGAAACACATATTCAAGAAACTCTCCATTGTATTTTGAATTTTATTTGAGGTAAGAATAATTTACCTCGGTATATGCTTTGTGCAAAAGTGCATTTACTCCTTTTTGTCTTCTACTCATGATTGGTCCAAGATATGTTTAGCTGAGCTTAGCACTGCTTTTGCAACTGCTTCCTGTCCTTGCACTACACTAGCCTTTTTGATAACATCTCACCTTTTCAAACTTAAGATTTTCTACATAGAATTTTTCTGTTATAGTTTTTAGTAAAATGTCTCATCAAATTTTGGATGTTGTCATAACATTTGGTTCTGGTAATGCATGTTTCCCATAACTTATCATCAGGTCAAGAGTTTGATTTGTCCTGTACTTTGCAACATAGTCCACTCTGTTAAATGCTTATGAGCAAATATGTGAAAACTGTTTTATGGATAAGACGTGATTTTTAAAACGTTATAGTAGTCCTTATTTCATTAAAAATCGAAGACTTCATGCAATTTTTATCTCATCTTAAAAAACCCATTGTTTTTACCAGGGCCTGGTTGAAATGTGGTATTACTGCCAGAAGGTGGCTCTATCAGATTTAAAAGGTTTGCTAACTTCCATAAAATAACAAAAGAAGAGTTTAGAATTATTGACAGTAGTGAGACTGACTGTGGACATGCTAAGAAACTTACAAAACAATCTTTTTTACTTAACATTAAATAAATAATGAATCAAACAATCTATTTTACATAACATTCAGTTAAATAGTTTTTTTCCCCCCCAAGATAAAATTAGCGCAATTTGGTGCTAAATCTGTTAGCACTTTAAAGGCAATTTTCATTTTTTTTGCATCAAGCTAACAAACTAAGGTGGATGTGATATTATTTAAATTTATAAAAAGAATCGCCATACAGGATTGTGTCATCTGCAAAGTTAATCAGAGTGACCTGTTTGTGAAAAAAGGTAAAAGTGAGTGCTGCACTGGGTCAAACTAAATGGAGAAGAATAAGGTGCTCTTCAAGAACAGGGGTCAAAAGTTAAAAAGTTAATAAAAAAAGTTGACTGTCCTGATGACAGACAAAGTTTGAAGTGTGGAAAAGCAGTCTAAACGGAACTTTATAAAAATCCTTTATTTAACAATGACGTGTCTACGCGTTTCGACTCTACATCCCTGTTTAGTAAAGGATTTTTATATGACATCAGAGTGCCTCAGACTTTCAGTTTAAACTCCTTTTCCACACTTCAAACTTTGTTTGTCATCAGGACAGTCAACTTTTTATAAACTATTTGACCTGTTTGTAAGTCTGTTTTAATTTCCTAGAGGATAGTAAAACATCAGTGAGAGTTTTGTCCCTGTAGATCCCAGGAGCTTCCATTACTGACTGGATCTGATAAACATCTATTATCATCCTCCCTTTACTCTCAAAGGACTAATTACCATCAGAAACTGTTGATAAGTGTTTAGATAGTCAGCAGCTCACAGTGGACCTCATTAATGGTCGCCTCTGTTTCAGAAACAGTAACACTCATTACTGGCCGCCGTGGTTACTGGAACGCACAGGGATGAAACTGGTGGACCACCAGGGGGCAGTGTACTCCCCTGAGCGCCCAGCATGCAGCAACTGAAAGAAAATGTAACTTTCCAAACATCAACAAACACGAAGAGGAAACATGAAGTTTCTTTCTTAATTGGAATCTTTTTGTTCTCATATTTCTTCAGCAACTCAAATACTTTCCATCACATTTCTGGATCAGCTCAGAGATTTTAAAATCTGATGATGAAACAGAATTTTAAAAACAGAATACTGAAAGGTGAGCGGCACAATGTTTGTATTTCTAGTGCCACAACTGCTCCATTGTGAGTTGTAATCCTTCTCCTATACGTGATGAGCTTAGAAAGCCGACATCTTTTAAGTGCAAAACGAAACCTTTCCTAGGTTATTCCTGAACATTTTAAGAAATTTTTATTTATCCACAGGATAATATAAAAACTATTAACATGACGACAAAGTACAGATTTATATATTTTTAAACAATACTTTTTCAAGTATTCCCCATGACATTGGGAGCAGATATGAGAGGAGATTTGAGTAAATAAAAAAAAATGTGTGTTTTGACTGATCTTATTCTTGGTGATAAGGCTGTTCTACAGGTTTGATGCAGCTACCGTGGAAAGCTCAATCGGCCTTCTTTTAAGTCTTGATTTAGGCACAGCCAGGAGGAGCGGGTTAGTGGACCTTAGTGCTCTGGCTGGAGCAAGAACACAGAACAGTTCACTCAATTAAAGTGGTGCCAGTCCATGTGCTGCTTTAAAAGTCTATAACAAAATTTTAAAATGAATCCTGTAGCCAGTTGATAGACAGCAGCCATGGGTATGTAGTCGCTCTTTTTTGTGCCGGTAATATAACAGAAATGGAACAACCCAAAATCACAAGTTTTGATCATGCTGTTTCTAATTTCTTTTCACATGTTAATCACTTTGAAATATATTTTTGAATAGTCATGTTTTCCAGCATTTTGTCACCAATTACAGCCTAATTACCCAGAACCCTTAGGTTCTGTTACATGTACAGGTAGTGGTAAAACATTGTCTCACATCATCACCTCTTGTTTTTGATGACTTTTTTTAACTCCCAGACATGAACTGTTGAAAAACAATAACTGCTTATATTAGAAGGTTTTCCAGGTGCTTATTCTACCATCATAACGTCAGCAAATGTACAAAAACTGAGAAAAGACAGATCAAATCCACTGTCATTGTTTTGCGAAAATCTAACTTATACAATCCTCAGACATCCATCTTAGACAAATACTTATCTGACACAGTTTGAACTGTTTTAATTCACAATGGCCCCCAAGGAAGGAAGGGATGGAATACAGGGGTGAATCCTGCTTTATGAAACTCTTCAATCGACTAAATGTAATGCTTATTAATAGAATAGTTTAATGCATAGCTAAGCTTCTTTGTGGGTTTTTAAGTGACATGTTTGTCTTTGACTTGATGTAACTTTGGCTCCATCTGCTGGTCACACATGATTCTACTCTGTCTAGTTTGGCTTCATGACACGACTGCAGTGTGTAAGGGGACAATGGTTTAGATGCTAAACAGAGGAATCTTCTTGAGCACTCTTATTTCTAAAAAAACACACTTTTTTGAACATGAAAAAACATGTTATACTGCTCTTTTTGAATTTATTTGTTTTAAATAATTTTCCAGACAATTTGGTCAGTAGATTTCTCCATCTTTCTTTAAAATTTTGTCAACACAAAAGTTCCAGAACTTGGTTTGAAGAAGCAACAAAACATTTTGAATTATTCCTGCAGATCCTGAGTAAGAGTCATCTGAATTTTTTTAATCTGGTGATAGATTTTAGTACAACTATGTGTTCACTTCAAACAGGAGCTGGTACAGATTATTATGCACACTATTAAAGCGGGACATTTTTAAGTACATAGTAGAAGACATGGTTATTAAAAACAGGTTTGTATTTATCTGTCAACTGTCCAAACAGTCACACAAACCCTGATTAAAGTAAAAACCTGTTTAGGTATCAGGCTGTAACAACACACACTAGGTACTGAAAACTTTCTCATAACTGAATCTATTACTCCTCCTTTTTTTAAAGAGATCCAAGTCCAGCCTTTCACACCAAGGTTCAAATTCCAGCTCCAGCTCCAGCTCTAGCTCCTCCTCCTCCTCAGAGGTTTGTCATACTCTCAGCTGCTGGGACAACTGGACAGTTTGGTTATACAACACGAGAGGGAATCAGAGAAACAGAGCTGAGCTGCTGCATCACAGTGAGTCTGATCAACTTTTTCTGTTCCTTCTCATCAATGAGAACTGGTTTATAAAAGAAGCAGATTTGTTTCTTCAAACCCAACTCAAACAATGCAGAGTCTGACTTAATGACTCTCCTGCTGAGTTACATCCTGACTCTTGTGCTGCTCTGATTCATGAATGAAAGCTATTGCTGTGTTTGTGTTTTCAGAAGAATTACCAGGATACCAGATTGTTAAATTTGGATACAATTCTAGTAAAAAAAATGAAATTATATTGATATGAGTTTGATACCACAGCAACACAAATGTAAGTCCAATAGGCTCCAAACATATGAGATAATTTCCTGCTTTGAAAGACTAAAACATGCAGACAAACTCCTGCACACTGTCTAATCTAATCAAATAGAGTGGGAAACATTGCCAGTGTATTAGTACAATCCAGACAGTGCTCTCTATCTTTTGGTTTGGGTGTAGTTTTTTTTTTTTTTAGTTTCTGAACTTGTCCATGTTATTGATCATTAAAATAAGAGAAATTGTGTTGTTTCGAAATGTGTTATATAAAAGTAGACCCACCCTTTAATGTGGTGCAACTGCACATTTACTCTCTTTTTTTAATTAGGTGTATCTTTATTTAACACCTTGAGCAGAATTGACCTAGTTAGTCTTTTCAAATGTCACCATGTGAAACTACATTGTATAAAATGATTTGATTTATAATACAGCTTGATCGAACAGCAGAATGCAGTATTCAGACTCATTCTGCATCCCCAGAGGCGCAGTTTGTCAACAGGCAAGGCAGAAAAATGATTGGGGCCCCAGACCAGTAGGGGTGGTGCAAAATGTGCAAATTTTGCAATGACAGTAGGAAAACTCCCTAAGGTGACCCCCATCTGACAGCACTCCCTCTCTGTGCTCTATCTGTCTTGTGCAAAGAAACAGGAAAAAACAAGAGGAGGAGGAAGGGTCGGCTGGCAGACTCCCCCATAGATTTTTGCCCGGGACCCCGTCCAGCTCTAGAATAGCCACTGTGCATCTCACAGATATACTCTCGACCTTCTCAAACAGTGTTTAGCCTGTCCAGACGACTGCAAGCTGGTGCTTTGTTTGGTAGTTAATACTCACTGAGCATCCAGACTGTAAATTTGGTCTGTAATTTTCTCAATCTCTATCCAAAATTACGTCACCAAAAAAAGTAAAGAAATTGGTTTTTAAAACACTCAAAAAAGACACTTCTTGTACCTGCAGAACCTGTTTAAGAATCATCATGTTTTCAACTTTTCTCCAGTATTTGAGTGATCCAGTAAAAAATGTTGGTGTGGTGTGATCACTGCAAACAGGAGCTGCTGACAGTTAATTTTTTATGGTTTTTACGAGGGAAATTTGCTTGTAGCTTGTTTTACAAAACGTCCTCTTGACATTAAAATCTGATCTGATAGCCTGCTGCTGTGGACCCCGCCCCCCAAACCCCCTCTCTGTTTGTCCCTATCCTTCTTCCTGCATCTTATCCCATCTCCTCCTATACCATTTTTTCTATTGTAACATAAGAATGAGTAAGATCTTTTACCTGCTTTGTAAAGTGTCTCGAGATAACATTTGTTATGAATTGGCTCTATACAAATAATGATTGATTAATTCTCTGATATTTAAACCTATTTGCTATGACTGATCTGAGATCAGTGTTGTCCAGCAGTTAGAATATTTTTTACATCCCACCAAACCACACAGGGACTTCCACAAGCGGGAAACTTTCTACGAGTTTTGAAAATACTCACAGAGCATTCAGACTGACCTCACATCACACTGTAGTTCCTCTAATGGACACTAGATGCTGCTCTGAGAAACTTAACAGGCACCAAAACAAATAAATTTGTGTCCCGTATTGAAGATAATTCAGTGGGTCTGATAATAATAATAGGAGGTGGTGTGTGTCTAAGGTTGTTGTTGCAGTGAGGTGGGGTCCACTTTGTTTTGATTTGGGCCCTGACCAGATGAAACGACAACACAAAAATCTGTCTGTTGACATTCCTCTGCTAGAAATGTGTTCCTTCCTGCTCATGTGAGGCCAATGCTCTGGCTTTCTCTTTCTTTGTGTCTCTTTCTTTTTACTTGTCTTTCTTTTTCTCTGTTATTGTCATACAACAACTAAAACCCCCAAATGATCTGTCTAATATTGATGTATTTTATTATTGTGTCATGCATAAACAGTATGCCCAGCACAAAACAGGCTTACAAGACACCATTATTAATACGTAGAGACCAAAGACCACTTAATAATAATAATAATAATAACACTAACGTCCTGTTGTTTCTTCCATGCTTCTAATATGTGAAAAGCAGCTTTTAAGCCTCAGAAGTGGCAGGCAGTGTTTTCAGATCAGTCCATCGCTTCACACACTTTAGGATGGGTTGCAACCTAACTAGCAAGCATCAAATAAGGCACTTCCTGTAGTGTTCCCTTAGAGCTGTCTTCTGCAGTGAGTAAATCCCCATAGAGCCCAATTTACAAATGTCCAACTTCAGCAGAAAAGCATGTTTACAGCCTGAAACTGGTTCGTCTCTGAAGCTCATTTCTCTGTATTCATGACAACTGTCCGGGCTGAAGGTTTATAGAACTCACCCTGTTTAAATTATATTAAGGCTAAAAAGTTAGGTATGATTAGGAGAGTGGCCTCTTTGAGTGACAGATGAGGGCTGCTATCCAGTCCATGAACTTTACCTCTTGGCCAAGTTTCATGTAAATATCAGAGAAATAATTTGTCTCGCTGTGCGCTTCATTGTACTAACAAGACTGTCCTACAAGCCAGTTTGACACTCAGTTGAATTCTTACATTATTTAATTTACATTTAAGCAACAATTATCATCTATCTGTGTCAGTGCCATAGACTGAATATTAAGATGGTCCGAGCAACAGCTGCCTGGGAGTGAGGCTCCCTTTGCTGACTGGCTGGAGTACAGGTAATAAGCTCCGCCTCTTCCATGTTAACAGATTCAACATGCGGTTCAATTTATAAAGTTAAAATGTAAGTCCAATACATTTTGTAGAAAGCAGAGTCTGCTGTGGTACATTTTCAAGTAGTTTCATTTTAATACAGTAGTTATTTTATGTGAAAAAAGAGCGACTGTGACATCATGTTTGACAGCTCTGTTAACAAATGGTGTGCTTCGGTTAGAGGAAGGGGCCAAATGGTATTTTTTTTCTAGGCTGCATAAACATATTTAAATGAAAATGACAGATATGACGCAGGAATCTGCCTGTTCTTTTAAACAAATAGGACATATTCAATGCCCCACATGCTGTAGAGAGGAAAAGATTTATTTCTTTACAAATTATCATTTCAAACACTCTCGTTGGTCCAGTGGTGGTCTCTGTTATCTCTCTTCATCTCTCTTTGTGCAGAAAGAAAACACATGCTTGTACGTCCTTTATGCACTCGGTCATTCTAGAAACCTGCAGTGTGTAAAACAAACGACTGAAACATGTGAAATGATCTAAAAGCAGAGAGCGCTGTGTGTCTCTGTGGGCTGATTGAGTTCAAAATCGAGTCCTTTAGCGGTTAACCTTTTATGTGTGACATCAGCAGAAACTTGATGAGAGTCTGAGGGTCTGAACTGTCCCCAACTGGAAACATTCTTTCCTCACTTAATTGTGTGCTGAATCATACATACAGACATCAGTGTGTGTGTGTGTGTGTCGCATGTAACTGACTGTGTTTGTATCTCGCAGGCGTGTTTCTGTTCTTCAGTCACTGTGGGGTGAAAAACTAAATCATGGGAGCCAACAACCCAGCCTCACCACCTCCCGCCCAGCCCAGGGGTCTCTTCAACAGCATCAAGGTCAGTGCCTGCTTCATAACCACAGTTTCTCTCTTCAAAACAAAAACCGGAACAAGTTTGGTTTCTACCTTGTGTGATTAAATTTGAGTGAATACATGAACATGTTGATATTTACAATGGCAACCTTGATTGTGATATTGCTTGAATCTAGATTTTGTTTTTGTTCTGCTTAAACGTGACCGTCTCTTTGTGACGCCTACACCAGACCAAGGGTCATTGAATCAGACGAGAAGCAGATGTTTTCTTACATTTGTTTCAATTCAAACAACAAAACTGATAAAACAATTAAATAATCGGTGAGAAACAGGTGCGAACTTTGTGCTGATGAAACACGTCATTATGTTTTTTTAACACGGCAGTATATTTCTTACCACTCTCTGTTTATACTGTGAATATGTCCAAGGTCCAAAGGCAAATATTGTCATAATAGCATCTGACTCTGGTGCGTTGTCCGCCATCTTGGATATGTTGTTAACATTACACTGTGATTTCTGTGGTGTATACGTACATCATGTGTTGGCTCCTGGGAGGGTTTTTGTTTCACGTTCATCATTTTAGAAAGGATAAGAACACATTATGTCAGTTGTATTTAACTCGTTCTGTTGCTTGTTCACAAAGATCTGTGTCAATCTAAGTAAGTTTTCTGAGGGGAGTTAGATCACTTCCTGAAGTTCATCCTGGTTTTGTTCTGGGAGCTCTCAGTAAACATTTCCTTTCTGCAGAACAAGTCACATAACTCGTGATGAACTCACTGTGTCATAAATCTATCATAATTTCACATTGTTTGCTCTGGTTTACTACTTGTTATATGTTTCTGCAGCATCCTGTAAACTCATGAGCTATCCTAACTTTGGTTAAAGTTGACTCTTAAGAAATGCCTTACAAGGAAAGGAAGCATACTCAACTTCCTGTCCACTTTCTTTACCATGCTTCCTCTTCTTCATTGTCATCTTCTCCTCCTCTGCTCTGCAGTTCTTCGTCCTGTGCCACAGTCTGCTGCAGCTGTCTCAGCTGTTAGTGTCGGGCTATATGAAGAGCTCCATCTCCACCATAGAGAGACGCTACGGCCTCTCCAGCCAGAAGTCTGGACTGCTGGCTGCTTTCAACGAGGTCAGTGTGGGACAGTTTGTGCAGTTGGTTTACTTATAAAGCCAAAGTTTTCGGAGATCGGAGCACTCACACTAGTCAAACGAACTGGACTTCAGGGGTGGAGTTAGGCTTAGGCACGGTTACGGATTGCCTACTGTGAGTGCACCCTTATTGAACATGCTACACACAAATATGCTGAAATAAATACATGTGCACAATGGAGAGATGTGAGAGTGAGGGGGCTCCCCAAGCACTCTTGAGCTCGAGGGGGGTTGGTGCCTTGCTCAAGGGCACCTCGGCAGTGCACAAGAAGTGAATTGGCATCAACTGGCCCCTCTCCAATTACCAATCCAATTTCAATATTTGGTCCGCACCAGACTTGAACCAGCGACCCTCCAGTTCCCAACCAAAGTCCCTAAAGACCGAGCTATCGCCGCCCGTAAAGGCTGTCATCACAGTGTCAGACTCAACTTAGAAGAGGGAAGAGAATACAGATTAAAGAGGTTCTGGTAACCTGGTGGTTGAAGCGCACGCTCAATGTACATAGGCTGGTGTCCTCGAGAGCGGGCGGCCCGGGTGCGAGTCTGATCCGTGGCTCCTCTCCTCCATGTTGTTCCCCACTCTCTCTCTCTACCTTTATCTGACCCTGTCTACTGTCTTGTCTCTAAAATGTAGACACAAATTACAAACTATGAAAGGTTTTTTTTCTACTGTAACAGACCTCTTTTACAAGTTCAAGTGTTTCAGATATTTTTAAAATATGAAGAGGGTAACTGTCAAAAACGTTTTTCACATTTGCAAACTGTAAATAGAGTTCAATACCTTGGATTAATCTTTTATTAATCTTTTTCAGGAAACCATATTCCATTGAAAAATATCAGTAGAATAATTTAATTTAAACCTGTGTGTTTGTGTGTCTTCAAACTAAATCAGGAGACACAAACTGACTTTAAACAGTTTTCAGACCCCCTTACACCAAACGCCCCAACTTTAGCAAAGATGTCATGATTTTATTCCAACTTTGGAAATTTGTCTGTGACTTTGAAATTGGTTGAAATGTCATTTTGGAGTAAGGCCAGCATTACTCCAAAGGTGTGTTTGTCCAGGTGGGGAACACGGTGCTCATCGTGTTCGTGAGTTTCTTTGGGAGTCGAGTCCACCGGCCGAGGTTCATCGGGGGCGGAGCTCTGCTGGCCTGCATGGCCTCTCTGCTGATTGCAATGCCGCACTTCCTGGGTGGACAGTACGAGTACACAAAACACATCAGCTGTGAGAGCCAACACACCTACATACACACACACACACACACACACACAAAATCATGTTTTGTATTACATCAAATGGAAACATTTTCTAAAGACTATCATTGAACTAAAGATGTTTCGTTATCCTAAACTTCAAACAAATCCCAACCAGGAAATTAACTGATTTAACTTGAGAGTTCATGTGAGGGCCTCACAGTTTTTTCTGGACATTTGGATTTTCACCTTAACTCAACAACTATCAGACGGAATTGTGATTTAATACTTCATTACAACCAGATTATTGATCCAAAACCTTAGGACAGACTTACATATATTGCCCCTATAGTACTTAAAATAAAATAGTCAATCATTTCTTTATTTTGACAGTATATATTTTACTGTACAACCCTATTTCCTAAAATGCTGGGATGTTGTATAATCTAATTTCCATCTTGTCTTCATATTATTTACAATTAAAAATGGGGTTTCTTTTTTACTCTACTTTTTTAGACATAGGATTGTTAAAAAAAGGCCACAAAGTAAGTGCTTAGGAATATAATTTATCAATAAAATGTCCAATCAAACAATAAAAATGACCATTATATTAGAAATGTGTAAGGAAAAACACAACAACTGTGAGACATATAGGTTATTAAATCATAGATTATATAGAAGTGTTTGGTAAAAGTTTTGTATAAGATGTAAGAAAATGATCCTAAAAGATGATTTCCATGATTGTCTGGGTTTATGGGAATGTGTTGACCTCCCCCTCTCCCCTGTGTTTCCCGACAGCCTCTGGTGATAACAGCTCTGGACTCTGTCAATCAGAGAACACATTCCTCACCTCATCCTCCAATCAGAGCTGCAGCAAGGAGGAGAGCCCCGCCCAGCAGGTGGTGTATCCTCTACTACTGCTGGGTCAGCTGCTGCTGGGGATCGCAGCCGTCCCCATCCAGCCGTTTGGAATCTCCTACATCGACGATTACGCCAGCAAGAAGAACTCCCCGCTCTACCTCGGTACACCCGTTGAGCAAACACTCAATCCAGTTTTATGAGACATATCCTGAGCAGTAAAGTGACATGACTGCAGATTCAGTCATTTTTCAACATGGAGAAGAAAAAAAATAATTATAGAGAAGATTCCATAAATAACAAATTACAACTTGTCTTAATCAACAGCACTAACTTCTGTTGAGGCAAACTGTTATAAACAACCGGTAAGGCAGATCATAACTTGTTTGGGTACCCATAACTTACAAACATTTTAATGAGGGAGGTTTTTTTCTCACCTAGAATCAACCATTACTTTTCCACCAAGCTCCAATGACCAATAACATCATCTTACCTTCGTGAACACAGGAGTGTCCTGTGCCCTACAGAGAAAGACCTTTTTGTGAGAGATGAAGATGTCTTTTTTTTTAAACCAGAAACAGCTACCAGACTCTTTTAACAAAAACAGTAGTTACTATAATGGCTACTGCTTCCGCTAATGTTGGTGTGAATGTATGTAATAAAGCTTGTGTTGGCTCCCAGCTAATCATTTTAAACAATTCACACAATAACACAAAAAACATACCAGACCATGCAGCAGTAGACCAACGACTCCAAAGATATGCATGGTAAAGTTACTAACTTTGTCAATGGCGTCTGGTGACTGTGAAGATAACAATGTTATAACATATTTTTTTAAAAAGAAGGTCTGTCTCTGTAGGGATCATTTCTGTAATGTTGTCAGACACTTAGAATATCAATCTGATCATGTCAGTGACAAGAAAAACAACCTTCAGAGGAAAAAACGTTATGTTACAGACATTACAGCCTGTTTCACTGCTGCAGGATAAAGACATCTACTGGAAGAATTCAAAACCTTGTATACCACAAGTCATATTTCAAAATATTGCCCAGGTTTTACATTAAGGTTGAAAACTATGTGATGTTTTTAGTTCCTGCTGCTCACACAGCTCTTGCTCTCTTAAGTCCTCCGTGGTAATAAAAGTTAGCGATTGAGACGAATGGAAGTTGTAGTCGGCAGATTGAGCTTTCTTTAATCTTGAACTCAGTACTGACCTCATAATAAAAGGGTGAAGTTGATCATTAAAGCAGCAGCAGACAGATTTTACCAATGAACCATCAACTCACGTCAAGCGTGAAAGCGTCAGTGTGAAAGAAGATAAGACATCACTGTTATTGTTGTATTTGCACACAGGCAGAACCAACGCTCAAGCTAACAAAAGTGCAGGTCTGGTTTTCATCCACACTTACAGCGTGCAGCGCGGGCTAACAGCAGCCTGTGGAATCTGCAGACTCTCTGCTTAAATAACAAACCTGTTTGAATCTGTTCCCTGAGGAGTTCTGCAGCCGAACACAATCCAACCTGAGGTGTTCAAATACTGAAACAGGGGTTTAAATGCACAAACACTTCCTGGTTTATTGTGAGCTTAGAAATTTGAGATTTTAAAAGTGGACAATTTACTTTGCAGACATATTTTATATGTTATATTTTTGAACAGTTATTTGAAGTTTTATGACTTTCTTAAAATTAGACTTTAAATCATTTTGTCAAGTCAAAGACACACAATTTAAAAACAGAAATTACAGCTGGTGAATGTTGTCCAACAATTTAAAAGATTGAAGAATAAGTTTCTACGTGTCACTTTCTGAGAATGCTTTTTTTCTTAATCATACCTCACTTTTCTGTTTGCTTCTCTAAATCCATTCCCCAGTTCTATACCTGTCCAGACTTAATATCTCTGCTGTATAGTTGGATAAACCATCAAGTTACTCAAGTTACAAGAGAAATGTTTACAGTGTACAATCACACACAGACATTTGCAGAAGAAAGACAAAAACTAAAAATCTTTCAGTAATTTAATCCATTTGTTAAAAACATTTAAAAGTCAGAATTCTGAGATTAAATCAAAATAAATTTTTCAAACACTGCATTAATCCTCCTCTGTACTTACAGTACTAAGAGAGTTGCCAACATTTGACAGAAATGTTTCAATAAATAAAGGTCCAATTTCAAACCAAAACAAAAATAAAGATTGAGAAATTATAACGTACTCTAAACAAACTTGACATTTTCATACAAAGAGATATTGTGAAGAAAAGCAGCAGATTGCAAACTTGCTGCAACATGTTTTAGAATAACAATGCAGTAATTCGGTTGTCATAAAGTGTGTGCAATATTTTGATTTATATATTTAGTTGGCAAAGAGTTTAAACCTCACGATTGTTTTATTCTCATATTTTTGTTCTGGTCGTGTTTTTCAGGCATCCTCCTGGCTGTGACCTCCATTGGCCCGGCCGTCGGCTTCATCACCGGCTCCTTTATGCTGCGTTTTTATGTCGACTTTGACAAGTTATCCAAAGGTGAGGACACACACACACACACACACACACACTGTGCTGATGATTCACAGCTGGACTGAAATACTGCAGAAACCTCCGGTCAAGATCATTTGTTACTCTTGTTTTTAAAAGGAAGGGGAGGATTTCCTGCAACAGGCAGTCACTTATTTTGAGTAGTGCTTTAGTTAAAGGGTGAAAAGTGTTAAATGTCTGTCATATCCTCTTAAACAGAGCAGAGGGCAGCTTTAGAAGAAGCTCAATAACTGGCATGCTCACATAACATATCATGTTCATGATGTTTTTTTAATCTAATGTGACATTAAGTAGTTATTAGAGTTTTCCTCCCTGAAGTTAAAAGACATTTGATTTATTTCTGTATCAGTCAGAAGGAAAATTCTGGTATTTTAAAACCCATAGGCCATTTTTTTTCATGAAAGAGACGAAAAGTCAGCACGGAAAGATGTCCTTTAGGTTTCTACCGACTCGTTTCGGCGCTAGGCCTTCATCAGCGTTTCATCATTTTCTTTCTTCACAATTTAGATCTAAATGACCAATAGGAAGAGAAGGGCACAGTCATAAAACATCTAACTCTCTTAACCGTTAATCTGGTAACAAAGAAGTTAAAAAGAGAAATATGTAAATGTCACGTAGCGTTTAAAATGGGTACTGCATTGTAAATTCTGAACATTGGAGAGAGCAGTCTACCCGATACCAGATAGGGAGTGGACAAACGGGTTACCATGTCGCAGATGCGGTAGCTCCATTGTTAAGCCAACTATGCATCGTACTTGAAACCTTTCTTCGTTCCAACCTCTGGAGCTTATTACAACGACAAGGCATTTTAGGTCAGGTAGAATCAGTTGTCTTTGCCACTTGGATTGCTGTAACACCTGTCGGTTTGCGGTTTTCCTGTCAAGCCAAGCTGTGTCCAAAATTGCAGTGGGGTTACCTTCAAACTGCCTACTTTCTTTAGTCAGAACCAATCCAGACCATTCAGGAAACCGAACCAAAACTTAGAAAGATGACATACTGGCTGCTGCATTAACGTCAGAGAAGCCAACACTTCACCATATCATGTTTCCTAAATGTCTGATGATATAGTAAGGTCATTTTAATTAAATAATTCAGTAGATATCTTACATATTGGTCCTTTGACTTTGATATAAGTTAATCCATTAATTTTGTTAATATTTAACTGAAGTTAAAAGTTACATTAAGCTGACATATAAACAAACAACAGAAAGCTCAGCGTTTAACAATGTCAATAGATTTGCGTTCTTAAGAGGCCATGATGACTCAAAAAACTCAAAACACAGGGGTAGGTGTTGAAAATCTACAAATAACATAAACTTTCTTAATTTATAACATCCCATGGCCCGCAGGGACTTCGTGTGTTTTCTCATCATCACCATCATTTAAACAACTAAGTTCTGTGTATCTAATGCTACAACGCTAGAAAGCTTCAGCTCTTGTGACTCAGACCGTAAACCATTTCAAGTCAGACCATGGACAAACGGGCTTTTCTGATTCATTTTTCTTATTGTCTGAAGGTCTACTATACACTAGGCTTCTACTCCAGTCATAATACTCCATCACTAACGGTCCAACACATAACACGATCAAACACATAACACTCATAAAGATCCAGGAGATGCCACTCTTCAGCTTTTTCTCTGTACTAAGCACTCTGAAATTTCAAATGACACCTCATTTGACCAACCAGGACCTTCCATTTCCTGTTCCGAGGCTACTTTAGCCAATGAGAGCGTTAGAAGAAAGAGGACTTTCTTACTCTTCTCACAATAATACACACGATACAGATGTGTCAGCTGACAAAAAGGAAAAAAAACAATGAAGTCAACTGACTTGAGTTGGTGAAAGTGAACTCAACAAAAATGACGTTAACAGAATTTTTTTTAACAGAAGTCAAATGTTCCACTAACATTTCAAAGTAACATTCAGTTAAAAATGTATTAAAAATTTTAAAGCGATAATAAACGATGAACAGATGAACGGACGCCTGCCGAGCTCTGCCAACGGGTACAAAAGGTTTCGAAAATTCTCCCAAAGATTAGTTCATCCTGCAGCGGTGAAACAGGCTGCAATGTCTGCAGTAATCCTTGCCTGATCAAAGTGTGTCAACTAAAAGTTGTCTTTGTTACTGACAGGCTCAGATTGTTATTCTAAGGACAGAGACAGACATTTTTGTTAAAGAGGAAGTTTATGTTTTTAAAGTAGAAACAGCTGTTACGTCTCGCTCTATAAACACACCAAACTACTCATATAATACATTAAGTAAAAAATCAGAACTACTAAGCCAGATTTCACTAAAACAAACCTCAGGTAGATGACAGAAAAACCTCAGGGAGGTGTATGATGGCAGGTCATCCACCTCCTTGCTGTAGGATAGGGAGAGGTCTCAGAGGTGCTAAATTGCAGTTGCATGAACTTTGGGTGTCATACATTTTGTCAATGTGTATTTAAAAGTTTTGTCTTGTTTGTTTAGTCCTCCTCATATCAGGCTGCTGCTGTGTAGCAGAGATGTTTATACTCAGTTTGAACAGCGTTGAAAGCTGCTGCCATGTGTCTGTTTCCCACATAGAGAAAAGGAGGTCAGCAGGGTGTGAAGTAACTTTTGGCTTAAAGAAAACCTGTTGAGCAAACACTGAGAGGCCGGTGAACCAGAATGAATCAGTGCCAGGATTTGAAAACAAACCCGTTTGCAGCCTAAAGGGAGTGGAGGGAAAATTGTCCGGATAAACTGAAAGTGTCGCTGCAGTGTCCCAGAGAGATAGAGATTTGTTTTGTGTGAGTGTGTGTCGCTCGTGATTAAAAGTGAAATGCAGATTTGTGAAACCTTGCAGAAACAGGACGAGAGCAGTTCACAAAACACGACACACGTTTCTTAGACCGCTAAAGCACAAGTGGTGTTAAGACATCTTCTTGAGAAAAAAATGAAATGATCTGATTTTTAGCCACCTGATAATTTTGCGTTTAATCATATACACAAAAGAGAATATAGGACTACTTAGACATTTAGGTTTACTTAATGATTATAAAAGTGTCCATGTAATAGGGTTTCTGTGCTTGTTTATCTTTCCTACTTTTTACACAACTTGGACCACCTCTCTCCAACATTAGCCACACCGGAAATAATAATAATTTATCCTTTATTAACCCCTCAAGGGGAAATTCAGTTTTACACTCTGTCTAATGAACATGCTACACAAACATAGGCTGAAATACACACACATACACAAACAGGATCCTATGGACATGCGTTAATGGAGAGTTGTCAGAGTGAGGGGGCTGCCCACAGCGAGCGCTCCAGAGCAGTTTTGGGGTTTCTATGCCTTGCTCAAGGGCACCTCAGCAGTGCTCAGGAAGTGGACTGGAACCTCTCCAGCTACCAGACCAATTTCCGGATTTACAGTCCCTACAGACTGAGCTAATCTCAATCATTGAGGACTCCACATGTTCAATGAAACCCAGTGTGATTTTAGTGTGATTTCTATGCTTGATGAGGCCTGTGAAGGCTTGTTTAAAACGAAACCTGTTTCCTCTCACTATGTGGGGTGTGTGAACGAAGGAGAGAGTGATTGTGCAAGAATGAATATGTGTGTGTGTCTTTACATCATGTTGTGTTTGCAGGACGACTTTGTCTGTGATTAAGCATGCGTGTATAATGTGTATGTTTTAGAGGGCAAAGAACTTCTTTTGTCTTACAATGCAAACATTTTAGTGTGTGTGTGTGTGTGTGTGTGTGTGTGTGTGTGTGTGTGTGTGTGTGTGCGCGTGCGTGTAATTAAAGGATTGAGGGATTATTTGATCATGTAGCTACTCTTTGTTCTTGCTATGAATCAGAATTTTTTTTGCTTATTGCTGCTGGTGTGACAAACGGTCAGTGTGTCATTCTATTTAATGACTGATGTTGACAAGTACAAGTAATGAACAAGGAAATGTGGTTAAGCATCTAAACAGACACAAAAGATCACAATTACTTGAGATGCCAAAACATGTAACTAAAATGATCAATCAATCTTTATTTGTATAGCGCCAAGTCATAACAAATGTATTCTCACGACACTTAACAAAAAGCTCGTAGAAAGACCTTGCTCTTTCTTTTTCAATATTACAAAATAGCAGGTAAAAGGGGGGGATGGGGGTGCAACAGACAGTGTTGCATGATCTACTTCTTCTACAACCAGTTAATAAACTCATGCAGCTGTCTGGGGTTAAACATTCAGTGAACAAAAACAAAAATCCTTAATGGACACCCTTTGATAAATTAAGGATCACATTGTGGCTTAAGGATTATATATAGAGAGAAAAACATCATGTAAGTGTATGACTGTACTCATGACTGACTCTCTCTCTGTGGTTTATTTCAGATCAGATTGAATTGAACCATAAGGACCTGCGCTGGGTGGGGGCCTGGTGGCTCGGCTTCCTCGTAGCGGCATGCCTCCTCTTCCTCACCGCGATGCCTTACCTCTTCTTCCCCAGGATCATGCCCAAAGAGGTGAGCTCAAAAAAACGCAATGATCCAAAACTTAGAGCCATCACTCAGCTGGAACACGCTGCTGTGTTTGGATTATGTTCATCAACTCATACAGTGAGTAAGTCTATATTAGTGTGTTTGTTTTTTCAATGGTTCATACACCTAAAGAGTGTCAGAGGTGACAAGACACTGGAAAACAAAAGAGCAAACACAAGAGAAAAAGATTGAATGCATCACAGTACATGTCAAATAAAACAAAACCATATGACGATCATGTTCCTCAGGCATTAAAACTTTGGCTTTCATTAAGTAATGGCTAACTCGTAAATAAACATGAAGCGTCCTCCTTCCCTGTTGAAAGGTATTTAACACACACTGAGCTGATAAAGGTTTTATGTAAACAGAGACTGAAGTCTATATCACCAGACATAAAAAAAAAAACTATCTGGACAATCTTCTGATACTTTGCTTAAAGCTGACATCAAAAAGTGTGATTTAAAGTCAGAGAATCTTCATTTGACCTCTCAGGATCCTCCAGGTGTTTGTGTTCAGGTGTTTGTATTCCAGTGAGATATGGCTCCATATGGTACATTTTTCAGACGACAAAGAGGAAATACAGTATCTATGCTATCTAGATGCTGATACGGCAGCTTGTGTTTTTTTAATGTTAATTAGTATTAGGGCCATTCATTATTATCACTTTTAATTAAATACTCTGATATTTCTAGATTAAAGTTTTGATATTATGAGATTAGTTTTATTTTATGGGATTAAAGTCCCAATATTTAAGACAGAAGAAGTTGATTTATTAAAATAAAGTCATGACTGTTGGTTAAAGCATGGGGATTCAGCCCATTTTCAAAAGGTTTTCATTTGTCAGTTCTTACAATTCCCCTCATATCTATATGGTTTATTCTGAACACTCTTCAAGTTATTGTCATTCTGCCAGAGGAGCTAACATGTTTAATATCTTTAGCATCATTAATACTCAGCTACATGAATGAGTGAATTTGAAACAATGATTATTGTGATAGAACCTGTTTGTGTGCACAGGGATGGCATGCAGGTGAAACCAACAATAGTCGTACCACACAATAATGTCCTTCATCACAAAAGAGAGTTTAGTCCAAGTCAGTTTGTTTTTTCTCCTGTGGAAAAAAACTCTTCTTGCTAAATCTTTTCAGTCCTGATACTTTTGTATATGTGCTGGTGAAGTGTCACAAAATGATGTATGTCCTCGTTTGTGAAATCTATACTGAGACCTCTCAAGATGATCACGTTCCTCATTTGCTGCGCTTCATATTACTGCCCTCCACCATCACCCCTGTCCCCAAGAAACCAAGGACCACATGACTTCAGACCCGTTGCCCTAGTGATGAAGTCTTTTGAGTCTTTTTGACCATCTGTTGACATGGTGCGGCGAGAACAATCTAGAGCTTAATGCTCTGAAGACAGTGGAGATGGTTGTGGACGTTAGGGAAAATGCAGCCACCCCCAGCCCCATCACCATCCATGAATACACGGTGTCTACTTGGAGTCTTTCTGATTCCTCGGGACCATCATCACCCAGGACCTCAAGTGGGAGATCAGCTCCCTCATCAAGAAAATACAGCAGAAGATGTACTTCCTGCGGCAGCTGAAGAATTTCAACCTGCCAAAGACAATGATGGTGCACTTCTACACTGCCATTATCGAGTCCATCCTCTCCTCCTCCATCACCGTCTGGTACGCTGCAGCCACAGCAAAGGACAAGTGCAGGCTGCAACGTATCACCCACTCTTCAGAGAAGGTGATTGGCTGCATTGTATTGTCGATAGACAATCTCGATTCTGATTCTGATAATAAAACACAAACAATAGACTAAAACTTCAGACTTAAATTAATTAAAGTGTAAATTAAGGACTTTATTCTCAAACATTTTCAACTTTATTCTCATATATTTATTTATTTTTATCTCAATATTGTCTAATTTATTCTTTAATGTGGCCCCAATACTCCATTGTAGTGTCTAATGAAAGGTTAAGTGAGACCATCCCGTGAACATATTTGATCATTTAGCAGCTAAAGATAACTTTATTCATCTCTTCAGTTTGGGGAGACCAAAAACAGAGCTAAGCAAGAAAATGTTGAACTAACAGAGAGTAAAGTCTTTCATCAGCTTTTTGTAAAGTGTTTTGAGATAACATTGGTTATGAATTGACGCTCAAAAGCAGAGTTGGTAATTTAGAAAAAATAGCATGATTTTGAAAGTAGCATTCCCACCCACTCCCCTCTGTTCTCCCTCAAAAGCCAAGCCCCTCACTTACATGCACAAGCGGCGTTGCTCCAGAAGCGGACCTCAGCTCATCACTTGCAATGTGTAAAAACTACGTAGTCTCATGTTGCATTTAGCGGTAAGAAAACTCACAGTGTAAACTCTGTCAACAGTGATCCACTTTGAGTGTTGGATAGTGCACAAGAGGGGTAAAGAAGGAGCAGGGGCAGATAGGGAGGCATGATTGGTTCATCAAATTGGTACCTCGTGGCAGACATTGGTCAAAGTTTTTACTCGCTTTCAACAGATGACGTTCCTTTTCAGATTACTTCTATTATTAATTTCTGTCAGACCAACCATAATCTTAAAAAGTGTATCTGCCTTTAATCAATGACAAAATGTCTGTACTTTTAGCCTCTTAGTCATTTTTACATGTGTGAGAAGTGGCAACAACTTTTATCTGAATACAATTACCAAATATGTCTCATGCTATAGCCAGAAAAAGGATCAAAACATGTTTTATGCATCAGAATGTAAGACTTGACATCTACTCTGTTAAAAATGTTCTGAGAAGGACTTCAACCCGTCATTACATTTCGACCCACTTACATCCACCCAACTTACAGCTAAAACTGTCAAAGATCCCTAAGGGGGGTTCAGTCAAATGAACACTTGCACATAAACCAGCTGGATAAGAACTAATCATCATGACAGAATTGGTTTGGGAAAAATGTATCTGACACTTATTTTAACTTCATAGTTTGACCCATGTCCAATCCGTCAACCTGGAGTAGGTGGAGCTTAGGACCTGACCTACCATGTAAATACAACGGCAGGGACATGGCAGGGACAACGACAGCTGCAGATTCAGTGTGTGAAATGGTTTTCTGTAATCTGGTAACCACTTCTGTCTCTGCAATAAAAATCATTGTCGGCTATCATCTGACAACTTTATATTCTTTGAGAACAATGCCCAACTCTTTCAGGGCTCCCACTTTGGCTACCTGCGAGTGAAAAACAACTTCCAGGCAATATTTCTTTACTGTGTGTTGCAATGTTTACAGTCTGAAAGCAACATGAGAAGAAAGAAGAAAGTTGGTGTTACGCAAGGTCGTCTTAAGGCAGATTGTTGGCTGCACCTTTTATGAAGATTTATATGGAGATTCGTGGAGTTTAATAGTTATTAGGTAACTGCAGATAAGACAGGATTGCATAATTCATGCATTCCTACGGTGGCCGTTAGGGGTCACACGCTCAGCAACTGATGAAACGGCATACATTTAGAAAAATGCGCGGTTTATATAGAAACGCTGCACATTCAAAAGCAAATGCAAACTACCACAACAAATGCAAAGGTTAAAACGCGCTGCAAAGAAACAAACGCGTTGCAATTAGGCAAAACAACTGCATAAGCATCAAGCGTGCTGCAAGAACAGAAAGGAAACTTAAGTCAAAAACACACACAACCAGAAAACAACAGCAAACACAGAAACGCTGCCAAATTCAGCCTTAAACAGAAGCGCTCCAGGCCTGTAGGGGCGCTCTGTGGATCTGTTTATTTACGGGAGAGAGTAAGAGAGACAGCTAGGAACAGAAAGTTGTGTTTAGATCGGGAAGTTGTATGTAGTTCACAAAGTTGTGTGTTTTTTGCTTAATAGTTACACCAAACATATTGATAAAAAAGTTTTTTTCTTAATGCAGAAACATGAGCAAAATATTTCTCAACACTCCTAAAGTAGTTTAAACTATCCATTTTTAGTTTTGGAGAAATTCTAATTGTTTAGGTGTTTTCTGAAATATTAATATTGTCTAACATTTTTTTTTGCTTATCTCAAAGTCATTTATGAGAATATGTTCAGGTGCTTCTTATCCCTTGACGTCTGAACAGCCTAAAGGTTGTTTGAGTTTTGTTTGTTATGGTCTAGCTAGCTGGCTTAAAGATACTTTTTCAAAGAACAATCCCCCACAAAGGTTGGAGCTTTGCGTGGGAAAAAAATGAAGTCTCCAACAGTTTTAATTTCAGACTGATTAAATTAGGATGTTGGCCTGCAGTGAGTCTGTTGTTTGTATAGTGTTAAATGTGAGTCTGTTGTGAAATGTGCAGATTTAAAGCACAAATTTAATTTAAAACATCCTAAAATTCTTTAATTTAATATGACTTTTTATGCATTTTCCCCATAAAATTACAAAGATCATCAAGTTGTTGCAGCGTTTAATGGGTTAATTAAGCCATGGTAAATATTAATAATAATGTCAACAAAGATAATTGAGAGTGATGCAGAATATAAGAAATGCTCATAACTATGCCTGTAACCTCAGCGAGCCCTAACAAGAAGCTGTTTCAGGCTGTTTGGCTAAGAATCAAAGTTTAAGAGAGTTCAGATGAATGAAGCCGAACGATTGCCCAACAATGTTCCAGCTGAAATGACTCCCTGTATAACAGATGATCTTCAGCACTTTCTATTTCTGACACCAGATATTTGACTCAGTGTTTGCCCCCTCTCATGAAGGTGATTTATGCTTCAAACTTTTTGACTCGTCGTCATTTGCACCTTAATAGATTTGCCTGAAGTGACTTGTGTGCTCCAGTACTTTCTTTGGATCCTGTCTGAGAGAAGGAGTCCAATGAATTATATATGAACATCTAATTTCCTTCTCTGAGAGCATGGACCACCAATTGTGGAGTGTCTGAAGCGCAAGAGTTTCCTTCTACTTTTGTGGTAGCTTTGATGTAATGCTGAAATAATTAATTAAAAAAAATGAATTTCCATTTCTATAGAAACATAGCTGGGAGAGGCCTTTATGGCACATCATCATCAAAATGTTCACACCGCAGATGAGGCGCTAATTCGCAAAATTCAATTTCATCTCTTCCCAGTGTGTATGTATCAAGGCTGGTGTAGGTGGAGAGGCTAGCAGCATTAGCAGTTAGCAGAAGTCTCGGAATAGCTGGTTAGCTCAGACAGTTGACAGACAACAGAGACAGCACTTTTATTCTACAGTATTTATCATTGGCCACACAATGCCAGTTCTCCACGCTGCTGTATTTACTAATTGTTCATGAGCAGTAAAATATAGAATTCAGAGTCCTCTCCTAACTACCTTATACATCACACAACCAAAACAAGAAGCAGGCACCATCTTGTGTACAGAACATATATTAGCTGGTGAGCTAGCAGTGATTTATATCATACTGTCAAATTATTTGTAGGCTACCTCACATCAACTGCATGTAATGTTCTGACTCTGAATCTTGCTAGTATACCTTTCAAGTTCATAGCTGGGCTAAAGCAATCCGTGAGCTGAGCGGAAATGTATCCTGTTGCTCAGGCACTGCTGAGATTTGCTCACTTTAACGACAAGTGAACAACATTTTCATTGCAGTTATAACATAAAGGGATCAGAAACAGAGCTATGGCTTGTTATAAAATTATTAGTTTGATTGCAAAATGTATTCAAATATAGTATTATGGTCGTATTTTGATCCTTACCACCTTACCTTAAACGCAGGATAATGCCCTTGATGGTGTCCAGTATAATGTTTATATAGCAGTCTGTAGTTCTGAAACCTTGTCAGGCATTTTACCTAACTTAAACGATCCACCCTTTCTGCGCTGCTATTTTTAAGAGTGTTGTTTTATTTTCAGAGTAACACTTAAAGGTTATGATCTAGACCTGCTCTTTGTGAAAAGTACCTTTAGATTTATTTCATCCATTATTTAGAGCTTTTTAAATATCACCAACACTTGACGAGATAATTCAAGACTCTGCGTCTGTTTTTATCTCCGATGGTTGAGTGTGGTTTGTTCTTTTTACGACACCATTGAGTGATTTAAATGGAGTCTAAAAAGTGCTCAGTGAAATTGTAGTGTTCAGGTTTTTATGTTTACCAAACATCAAATAAAATTCTCTCATGTGAAGTCATTTAAAAATCGAATGTAGCTCTGAGGTGTGGCTTCCCGCATCTGGACTTTGACTCAGTGTACTAGAGACTGTTGTGTGTGTGTGTATATGAACTCAGTCATATCAGTTACAGCTTCGTGTTGAGCAACCTGCTGGCAGCAGACGCTTCCTTTCCCTTTCCCTGGGAAAAGGACTTTTGTTGTGACAGGACTAACATTCTAACTGAAACACATTTCTCTACGGCTGAGATAAAAAAAAAATGCTGGATTCAAATAACATAAACTGCCTCATAAATGATCATGTGTTTTTAAGAAACTCACCAGCATTACCCATCAGTGAATCCTCAACATGTATTCTCAGTTGGGTGTTTATTTAATTGTTTGAAGCAGCTTGTTTATTATTATTTTAGTCCAAATGTTGCAGAGGTCCTGGAGACCCAGATAGTGTTTAAATTACACTAAGTGAGTTTCCCTAAGTACCCTCGTTTAGAATGTATATTTAAAGTACTTGTACATTAAGCGATTGCAGAAGTTCACTGAAATTAGCTCAACATCTGTCAGCTGCAAACCCACCATTCATGTAACAATGACTAAAACAATAAAATGAAATACATATTATTCTAAAAGTGCTCACTCTGCATATATTTTCATGCCAACGCCTTCGCACTTTAGTGCAAGAAATATTTTAAAGGCCAGATTCTCTCAGAGTATGTCGTTGCTGTGGTTGTATTGCACTGAAGTAAGACATCACCGTCCTCATTCATGCACGGCCTGCTCCGACCTCCACCTCAGCGGCAAGGAAGTGTGGACAACATGAACAGGAGGAATACAAAGGAGGAATCCTTCCTGCATCTTTTCTCATCTCCCCCTATCCCATTTTTATTAACAATGAGTAAGGTCTTTTACCTGCTCTTTTGAAAAGTGCCTCACGATAACACTTGTTATACAAATAATGATTGATAGATTCATGTGGATTCTCTAATTGATTGCAGTATTCATTTCCACTGGTGTGATACTCTGAAGGAAAATACACCCTGGCTGAATGTGGTTTCCCTGAGTGGGATTGACTGATGTTGTTTATTTTTTGATTCTGTATGATTTGTCTTGTTTACTTTTTATACAGTGTAGATCCAAGGAAGAAACATAGTTCCCATGGGATCCCATGTAAATAAGAGAAAAAATAAATTTCCAACCTCTGACCTTAGTTTGAATGCAAACTTTAGCAAGCAAATCAGCTGACTCCTCGAAGTGTCTGTAAGTTCAACCAAATACCTAAGAATGATTTGTTTTACACATCGCAATGGTAAAGGCTTTTCAATCACTGGTAGCCTCCAACTAACTCCTCCCTGCTTTCTGGTCTATTTGACTCTTAAGCAGCACCATAATTTACTTAATAAACATCTTGAAGTATTGCAGAAGACTTGAAACTAGAGATTGTGCAAATAAACCCAGTGTAGGTTATGTGCAGTTTACCTGCACCGTCTCTGTTGGTCTGTGTTGGAATGCAGATCTACAGATAAATCCAGAGCTACACCTCCAAGCTCGGCTCCAAGCTCTGTATAAGTTTGTTTATCTCAAACTATCAGAAGGTAAAATCTTTCAACAAAAGCTGGTCATATTTTCCTGCCCAGACCACCAAGAAGCAACTCCGACTATCACATTAAACATGTCATGTACTTGTGGCCTACAAATCTAGCCATGTTGATGTTTTTCAGAGGATTTTATCTGACTTTGAGATTTTACGTTTTTAATAAATCCTTATTCTTTGAGTGGCATGGTTTTACCTACCAAATGCAGGGCCTCAGCAAACTCATCCAAAGCAGCATTAACTGCAAACTAAAGGGATTTCGAAACTAACAGGGGAAACAACACCATCCAGCATGTGATGTTCTGTTTCCATATTTGTCCAGGACGAAGCAGACGATGACGAGTCCATACCGGACAGCAAGCAGCCGCAGACAAACCCGCTCCAGGAACTCTCTATCCTTCAGTTCCTTAAAAGTAAGTCTTCTTTTAGCTACTTTGTTGAGGATGCAAGTGAGGCCACTAAAGGGTATCGATGGTGAAAAGGGGTCACTGTGTACCATCAGGTCTAACTCAAAGCAAGACTCTAATTTCATCATTAGTTGAGAAAATGAACCCAACTTGTCAAAATGAAAATCCCATAAATAACAATTGCATTCAATAAATGTGAGATATATGACTGCAATATGTCCCATGATATTTAGTGCTCACACAATATAAAAGAAACATTCAAGTTCTTTTCATTCCCCGAAGGAAGATGGACGTTGCTATAAAACAAATTCAAACAATCCCAACGTGTTTTTGTATTTTGCAGTTTTGACCAATCTTTGCAAATTTCCTTTAAATTTGAGCATTCTTCATTTTTCATACTCAGATGTTGTCATGAATGTCCCCAAACTCACTTCTGTTATATTCAAAGTATTGATTGTGAACCTGTAACCCTTATGTTGTGTCTATTAGCCAGTCAGAAGGCTTTGTTGCACACTTTCCATCAATCAGAGGCTGTTACAAATGGAAATCAGTGATGATCTCAAAAAGTGTTTTTGCAGTATGATATTGATCCTCAGTCTCCTATCATTTGTTTCATAACATCACATCACCACAGATGACAAATAGAACTGTGAAAATATATTGACATGTATATCTTATTTGCCTGTTCGATACTGTAGCACTGAAATTGGCATGTGTGGTGTGAAATTGGTTTTTCATGGCAATAATACTTTAGTTTTGTTAAATTTAAAAACAAATTTGGCATCAGTGACACAAAAACTGACTGCAAGTGAAGTCAGACTACAAAGTTCACTGAGCCAGTAGATATACTTTTTTGGTAGTGTGTCCATTAGCAGTTTTTTGTGTGTGCTGGCAGTGCCTACAACCTCAGTGTCAGAACACTTCTCACCAGCGTTTATTGTTGTTAAGTTACGAAAGCTAACGAGAGAACTGTGAGCGCAGCGACAAAAAAAAGTTGAGACTGACAACATTTTCAGACTGTGAATATTAATGGACGAAGCCTGAGTAATGTCACCCATCTGTTTTTGCAGGGGGCTTTGGAGTGCCAACGATGGCGGTCGCAATGCTTTAAATGCTTTAAATGATTTCTCACTGTCAGTCAGCCTAACAACAGACAAAGAGCTGGAGCTGAGGCGGGTTTCAAGCCTCAGAATTAAACCTCATACAGCGTGTGCCCATTCATGAGACATGAGCTAATCAGATCAATTTTGTTTTTTGTACCAGGCCATAAAACATTTTGATTTCAGCTGTAAAAACTGGCCTTTTTGAATGGGGTGTATGTGACTTCCAACGCTTCTGCAGCTGGCCTCAAGCGGACACTAGATGAACTGCAGGATTTTGAACATCTGCATCTGCTTCATAATTCAACACCGGAGCTGTAAAAATAACTAAAGAAACATACAAATAATAACTGCAGACAGTCAGTATTAGTGCAAAACAGACCTTTCTTCATCTCTGCTCTTCATCCATCAGTCATCATCACCTTCATTGTCCCTCTATGTCCTTCAGGTTTTCCTCGTATCGCTCTGCGAACCCTGCGGAGCCCTATCTACCTGCTGGTGGTTCTGGCGCAGGTCAACCTGGCAGCGCTGCTGGCAGGTCTAGCCACCTTTATGGCCAAGTTCATAGAGAGACAGTTCAGCCAGACTGTCTCTTTTTCCACCATGATGATAGGTGAGACTGTTATGTCTTTAGAGACTTTCCACAGAAATTAAATTTAAATAATATGTGTTTGATGGTCCAGTAGAATCCCAGAAAAGCTATAGTATCAGCAGTAAAGTTGGGATCAACTGAAATTGAAGTCATTGTTTTCCTGTTATCCGTCTTTCAGGAGGAGTTTGTATCCCTCTGGCCGTGTTGGGCACCGTCCTAGGTGGAGTTCTGATGCGGAGGTTGAATCTGTCCATCAACAGTGCCAGTAAGCTGTGCACCGCTGCCATCCTGCTCGGTCTGTTCTGTTCAATGCCGCTGTTGTTCATTGGCTGCCCAACACAGAAGGTCGCCGGAGTGTTTCCTACAAGGTAGCTGCAGCTTCAGTTCAAACACATCATCTACATACGCCATGCAGGCCTCAGGGGCTAGTTACAACATAGAAGATAAACCTAATTGACAAGTTATGGAGCTACATCTGTGAGCTTGTTCAGTACGCAACTTGAGCTGCACTGATTTCACACTTGACATGTGCCATTCTCTACTAATCACAAGACAAACACGTCCACTTTGGTGGTCTATTTATGCTGCAAGATTTCTAGTCTATCCCTCTACTCTGTCATTGCCAGTTCTGCCCCAAACCACTACAGTGCTCTTGCTTTCAACCCCACTAACTCCCCAGTGTTGACATGTGTGCTCTGACTAGGGTGTTTAAAATAATCTCTCATCACTTATCACACCTTTACAAGAGAGTAAACCCTAAACTTGCAGGAAACTTTCCTCAGCACTAACAGGAAACAATTTCTACCTCTGAAATTGAACTAATTTCATGACTGGTAACAAACAAATGGCATTTCTTCGCAACAAAAAGGAAGATTGGATGAAGTGAGTCCCTGTCATTTGTACAATTCACCATGTATTTTCCTTTTTATAGAAGTGATGCATTGTCGTGCAGCGCTGGTTGTCGTTGTCCTCAGGAGGCCTTTAATCCAGTCTGTGGTTCAGACGGAGTGGAGTTCAGATCTCCCTGCCATGCCGGCTGTATGGCTATGGAGATGGATACATTGAACAAGGCCGTTGTAAGTATTCTTTTATCAATTGTCTTTGTAATTGTAATAGTAAATGTCAAATACAGAATTGACTTTAAATCAATTCAACTATGTACTGCTTTGAACCAATCTGCTCCCATTAACTATCTCAGATCCTGATCTGCAAATATGATAAAAGGACTTCATGTGATTCAGAGCAAAGCGCCTCTTTGTGCCAGTGCAGTTTTCATCTATTTGAATGAGCCATTATGCACTGTATGGGAAAAATTGGCCTCCTTCTATATGAAAATTGGCCTCATTGCAAAAAGCGTGTAATTCACAAACAGCAGTGCTGAAAGCACGTGTAGTCAAATTTGAATTTGTGGTGACTTCCCTGCAGTTTTTAAAAGAGCTTCCATGCCCAAACTTTCCATTGTTCCAGAAAAAAAAAAATCTAATTTTGTTGACCGAAAAAATATGTCTTTAAATATTTCTATGATGTATTAAACCGAGGTTAAATCAGCCTGGGGCTAGCCTGTCAGACATACAGTATATGTATCACAATTCCTCCACATGTTACACAGGACCTTGGAAGCGTTTTAAACAGTGAATCTTCACATTTCTGCATTTTATCATCTACAGGCAGATAGAGTGAGCTCCCTCAAGTTGAGAGCACACAGGGAGCAAGCAAACTGCACAGAGCAGGACAACTATATGAAACATGTTTCTGCTTGAATACCATTAGCTAATAAGCTTTGTGAATTAGACCTTGAGATGGCGCAGATAGCGGGAGAGCAAATTATGTGCAATTGATGGAGCTGTTAGCGGCGGCAATCCATTCTAAGTAAATCCCCACTGAGCTATCATCATTCTTCATAAATTAGATAATATATATATGCTTGTCTAAATACCCTTTTGTTTCATCAAAGCTGCAGAGACTCTGATCATCTTCTTTTCTTTGGCTCTGTCCAATATGAATTACACTTTTTCCAGTCTTCTTCTAACTGTCTCTCCAACAATCACACCCTATTCCTGTTTTATGTGCATTCCAACTTTCCCCTAAGCTCTATTTATGTGTCAGTGGTCTTAAGTGAAAACAGAAAGCATTAAAAAGAAACACAGGGAAGCAAATCTGGATGCCAAATCAAACATGCTGCACAGCGAGTCTGACAGCCGCTGCAAACTGGGTAAAGTTCACAAAAAGCATCTTAAGCAAATGAATACTTGTTGTTACAATATCATCAGCTTCGTGTTATCAAAGTATAAAAGTTAAAGTGGTGGTTGTGCAGCTGCTCCAGGTGGAGACTGCTTGAATATTTTTTTACAGTCCACTATTTTTCAAACCTAAGGGCTGGACACCTCAACAGGTCACTAGATAAATCTGAAGGGTCGTCAAATGATTATTTGGAGAGTAAACAAGCTAAGAGAAAATAAATGAAAATCTCATCCCATTAAAGCTTTGAGTTAAAAATACAGAGCTTCCCTACAGTAAAGTACCACAACTTTGTGGTAATGAAATGACTCTCAGAGATATTATATCACATTTATGTATGTCCTGGTGAACACCACCGTGGTCTTCATGTGGGCGGGTACACCAAAAATGAGCAGCTTTGGTGCACTCTGTTTTTCTAACCTGGTTGTTCGCCCCGCCCTCTTAGGGTAACAAATCAAATCGCCTAACAAGTTGATAAAAGCCTTTTCAAATTATACCTCACACTCACATCCAGTCCCGCTCAGAATGACTCCCCATTCCAAAACTTAACCCTTAAAACGCTGCTTCAGAAATAGTTGTCAGTACCAACACTTCCATTCTTGTTTTTTATTTAATTTCTTGAAGTATTTTTATTTGCTTCATATCCCTAGAATATGCTCGCCTTGAAGATTTTTGTAGGTTTGAAAGTTGTGCTGTAGCGTTAATGTTTTTTTTATTTTAGATGCACTTAAGAAGAAAAACTCAGGAGGCTAATTTTCAGAGAGTGGAGATGCTCAAACTGCCGTTTCACAAATATTTTGAAATCCATTCAATTCAAACGGGAACAAAAATATTATGTGAATTATAATGTTCTTCTTTTCTTTTCAGATGTGTTATATCATATCAAGATGTTGTCTTAAGAGTCTGACAGAATAAAAACCATTGATATTCCTCAGCTTTATCACATTTTCCTCTCATGAGTTCACTTTCACTTTCTCCTCCAACCTCTCTCCATTACTGAATGTGTCACTTTCAGTTAGCCCACACAGTTTTCCAGGCAGACTCAAGTCTCCAGAGACATTTCTTTTCCAGAGAAAAGTGAAGTAATTGTTAACACACCCCTAACCCAACTTATAAAGTGACTATAATGTCCAATGCAAGTGAGGGAAAAATGGCTCTAAATTTATTTAACCAGGTTAAGAACCCATTTAGATCAGTATCTCTTTCACAAGGGTGACCTGGCCAAAGAGTCAGCAGCACATGTCATAAGAACAGTTAAAATGAAGTGACAGTATAGATTACAACATAGTCTTTTCAATAAAAAAGAAAGTGCGGGAGTTGTGACACAACAATAAAACAAAAATGTAAGATTTTGAAAAAACACAGGCACTGTTCAATGGTCTCACGCTGTCTGTCCCTAAGGATAGAACAGAAAGCTCCAAGTGGAATAAGTTCAGGGAGTTTTAATTCAGTCTGTAGCGTTTTCCATGTCGAGGGGGCAGCAAAGCTGAAAGCTCTTTTTCCTAATTCAGTCCTTACCCGAGGAACAGATAGAACTGTGAGGTACAAGAACGCAAGGCATAGCGACTGCTTGTTCTCTGCAATAAAGCAAACAAATATGGAGGAATCAAGCCTAAAAGAGCCTTCTAATTAGGGTCAGCCAATGTGCGTATCTGCGTGCACTCAAAGAAGGCAAGTTCTTTTGATTAACTACAGTCTCGCTTGCAGCAGTGAAACAGGCTGTAATGGCTGTTACCTGGTCCTTGGGGAAATCTTAAACTAAAGGTTGTTGTTTTTATCATTGACAGGCTCTGATTGTTATTAAAAGTTTCTGACAACAGTACAGAAAGGATTCTTACAGAAATATGATGATTATAATAATGACAAGATGATTTTTACATCACTGTCTACAAACACACCAGACATTTCCTGTAACTCTATCCTCAGGACAAACTATATTTTTGCTCCTTTTCCTGAATAATACATAGCAGAATGTTTACAGTGAGTGTGTGTGTGTGTGTTTGAGCAGAATTACACCGGTTGTCGGTGTGTCGGCGGTCTCGGCTACGCCTCCCCGGGTACCTGCGGCAGTGGATGCTCCCACCTCCTCCTTCCCTTCATGGTTCTGATTGGCCTCACTGCCTTCGTCGCCTCCTTCTCTCAGACGCCCTCCTACATGATGATCCTTAGGTAAGAAAGACACTGACAAGATTTAGATACAACACAAAGTTTACTGATGTGCTGCTTGGTGTATCTGTTTGGTTGTCATGCTAACAGAGAACAATGGATGTGATCAGCTTTGCTGCAAGCGATCATCAAGAGAGTCTGTATCAAGATTTAAACCAAGCAACTGCCTCCAAGTCTGAAAAAAGAATGAAATGCTACAAACTGCAGTTTCTCGTGTGTCCACTTGAGGCTGTCTCCTATAGTGAGCCAATCTTCATAGAGCCTCATGTTAAATATCAAACTTTAAAGCAGGAATAAACATGTTTACAGCCCGGTACAAAAACAGTTTTGTTCTTTAAAGCACATTTCTCTATTCAGGACAACTGTATATCCAGAATTTTTATAGACCTTACCATTGTTTCAATTATATTATGGCTTAATGTGATGTAGAATAAGGGGCGTGGCCTTTTTGAATGAGAGGTGGGTGCTGTTCAGAGTCCGCTAGATGTCAACTCTGTGTTTATGCTGTTGGAGCTTTTTGGAAGCTTCTTCCATGTAAATATCAGACAATTAATGTGTTCATCTTTATCCCTTTATTGTACTAACAGACTGGCCAAGTCTGAGCTCCAGTTTTTAAACTTAGTCAAATACTTACATTATTTTATAAACATGATAGCACTAATTGGAAGCTATCAGTGTCAGTGTTTGTCAAACCATGATTTCTTTGTGGAGGGGCCGTGCATAAGAGTCAGGATTGTTGTTGGCTTTTTTTCATGGCAGAGAATATGGCAGGCTGTGATAAAAAAAGATGATGATGCTTGTGTTCAACTGTGAGACTGGTATTCTGCTGATTTTGTGACTAGGGGTCATCTCTATCATATCATATTGTATCGTATCATAGAGTATCCCTTTAACACACATCTTTGAATCTCTTCAGATTGATAACATAACATTCTTCTTCTCATACTTAAGTCTTAAACTAGTTTCACTTTTACACTGGTACGTGATGTTTTCACCTTGGATTAGTGACAGAATTACAAATAGAAACTCTGCTTACATAAAAAGTCATGTGTGTTTTTAAATGTTGCATAACGTTAAACTAAAATCCAGATGGGAGTGAAAGAGTTCCAGGAAACTATTTTTATTCACGTCAGGTGCACTTTATCATTTCACAAAGAGAGACTTCCTGGAAATATGTGAAATATGTGAAGTCTTCCCCTTCTCCGTCAGTCACTTCAGCGCAACCTATTTCTCATTCTCTAATCAGCCACATGTGTATAAAATAGTCAGCTCACAGTTTATCAGGGGCCCGTTTCTGAAAGAAGGTTTTGTGTAAACTCTGAGTAAGTTAACCCTAAAATGAGAGTAACTCTGGGTATTACGTTTCAGAGTGGGAGGTCACTCAAACCCGAGAAAGAGGGGTCACTCCAGCCCGTTTCAGAGGGTGAGGTTACTTTTCCTCTGAGTCAGTTACTATGGTAACTGAGTAAGTGAACCTAACCTGGTCGAGTGCAGGTTTTCTTCAGTGAACCCAGAGTTTCTCTCGGTCTCCTCCCTCTTTCAGAGCCAGAAACGCTGTTTCATTTCCTCATGCTTTCATTCAGTCTCGTATCACGCCGTGTTAGTGAAGATTCACCGGTTGTCTGAATAAAAATCCAGGTTCTTTTAATATGATATGTTAGGGTGACCATAGCCTACTACAGGGTATAAGACGAACTATTTTATCGAACATGGCATGTCTTTTAGTCATGTTATGAAGGGGCTGCTTTAGGCTACTCCGCAGGGAATTAGAGCCTAGGCTACATTAACGTCGGGAGATGTTAATTTAATTAGGGTTAATTAATAAACTAAACGGGATAAAGGTGAGAGGACATTTAGCCTATGTGTGTGAAAACAGCTTTATGTTGGGGATAAAGTTAATGCACGAGGGTCGAGGGTTCGATCCCCAGCTGAGCAACGTGTCTGATGTGTCCTTGGGCAAGACACTTAACCCTGCATTGCTCCTGCATTGAACATGGGCGAGGCCAACAAGACATGACATAAAGGCAATCATTTCAAAATAAGACAGGATACACTTAAGAAAAGACAAACACGAGGGGTGCATCCTAATTGTCCCTCCTATCCCCTTTCACTTTACCTTAACCCCGGGGAAAACGTCATGAGGTCAAGGAAAGATGTTAGAAGAATTCATAAAGGACTTAGGGAAATGTGATCGTGTTGCTCTGACAATCCGACCACATTTTCCACAAGGCGACATAATTAACTGCGACGGGCCAGCGGAGGTTAATGACGTGGTTCTGCCATGGTGAAACTACAATGTTCAGAAAATGGACTACTAAAAGTGCATCTATAAAACTTTCCCCTGTGCCTTCTTACCAGTGAAATAATCCTAATTGCCACAAGGAATTGAAATACAAGGCATAAACAAAAGTGAAACCATCATATTCCTGTCCACTCATAAATCAACATTCATCCAAAATAGCCTAAGTATGATTTTACGAGATATACAAAGAGGCTACATAATGTTTTAAAACTTGTACCAGGAATATGAACAGAAGAATACACAAGAGGAAATTACATTTAAACAATAAAATTACAAGACATAAAACTGAACAAGAACAAATCATGACACAAATAAAAGCCATGAAGACTTTGAGATTGTACAATTTTCCGAGTATGTGAAAAGGATACGTAGCTGTAGAAATATCTTGTGAATGTGTGAATAGGTGAGGGTTAGGAGAGGACTTTTGTGTATCCATCTCTGCAACTTCGCGAAACCTCACTCATGAAATTATTACTGCACACGTTCAAATAAAGAAATACAAAAACAAGTTCTACAACTACAAAATATGTTTTAAAATGGGCCAATTATATCTACGTGTAAAACTTTCTCGTTTCACGTTTTTTACAGCTACAAACCTTTTTACATAGACAAAACTTTACAAACTCAAAATCTTTATGCCAGTTATTTTCCCACATAGAATGCTCAAAGCTTTTTTTCTTCCTATACGACTTTTTAAAGCTACGCAATTTAAATTTTGCTGGTAAAAAGCTTCTGGCTACAAATGTGCACAGATAAACATCATCAGATTAGTTCGAAAACTAAAAAGGCAAGTTCTACGGTGTAAAATAAATGTTTCTATGGCTTTTAAGCAGATTTGTAAGTGCTTTAATGGACACTGTTTTATGGAAAAGTAGTCATGCTGAATCTTAGAATATGTAAATCAAGTTACTGTGTTAGAATCTGACAGAGAATGAATGCTGTTTTGGTGTTAATTTACTTTTAAACTGTGTTGGACAGCTGCAGCTCCCCCTCAGACTATGTTAACACACGCACGCATGCATACACACACACACACACACACTCGCACACACACACACATACATACATACACGTGTACCTTACTAACAGGGGACTATCATTCTAAACTGGCCAAGTGTGAACTTCTCTTTCTGATCATTTTAAAAATACAGAAAAGTAATAAAACATTTACTTGTAATGTCTTTGATAATAATATTACTTCATATGACACACACACACACACACACTGATGACTGCACACAGTAAATAAACACTTAATCTGTCTGTATCTTCATCAGGACAGTGCCAGCTGAGGACAAGTCTTTCGCAGTGGGAGTTCAGTACATGTTGTTCAGAGTACTTGGTGAGTCAAGTAGTTTAGTTTTCAAAAATCTCAACACTCTCTTTTACCGTGGTTTTAAAACAAAAAATACAAACCACTTTATAGAAATATCTATCGTTCTTTCATCCGTCCTTAATGTGAGTGTTTGTTTGTGTGTGTGTTTGTAGCGTTCATGCCTGGACCAGTGTTGTATGGTAGTGTCATCGACACCACCTGCCTCCTGTGGGGCAAAAAGTGTGGCAAACAGACTTCCTGTCTCTACTTCAACTTGGACATCTTCAGACAGAGGTGAGCCATTCAGAAACAATCCAATAACAATGAACACACTGAGTTAACTGTTTACACGTGTAACAAGTGTCACAACCACAGTCTAAAGATTTCCACGTACTGAGAACAAGATTCAAACAAAATGAAAAGAACCAAATTAGATCACAGATAATGATGTTCTCTGAAATTGGAAGTCAAACTGAGTGAAATAAATACACTTTTCCTGTGTTTGCTTACTTTTTTATTGCTTTGGCAGAAGTTAAGCAAATGTATCCATTGGAGAATGTAGTGCATTTATTTGTTTGATGGAATCTTCCCTTTAAAACAGCATGGAGTCAAATGTCTTATTGTAGGAAATATATTATTATAAGATACTATAAAATAATAATATTCAATCATATCAACATACAAAGGAAGATGTTTCAAAGGAGGGAGAAAAAAATAAAAGGTTTCAGAGTTCAATCTTAAAGATAAGGTTGTATACAATTGTCAAAAATGCAAAGGAAGCCTTCATGATTTTACAGCAGAAAGTTCTTACATATAAAGACCATTATACTGAAGTTTCAGAGAAACTTTTGCACCTAAGAAGGTACATTTTTTGTGCAGAAGGGATATTGGGTATTCCAAAGATACCAAACAACACATTACAGTGATACTAATTCACAGTTCAAAGGCATCCAGACAATATACATAAAAAATTACAACATTAAAATAGATTAAATCAAACGCCATCAGTTAAACATAATAATACCAGTCTAATACCTTATACCTTTATTGATAAAGTACCTTTCATGTAAAGATGTCGTCTAAAATGCTTAACAAAAGAAGATTGTAAAGAATTTAACAATTACAAACAAAATCATGTATTACTAATGTGTATTTTAAAAACAAACAACGTGATAATATTAAAATTGCAGCTCATTTAAAGCAAACTATCAAAGATGTCTTACTGTCATTATGCCATGTATAACACGTACATGTGTGTGTGTGTGTGTGTGTGTTTTTGCAGGTTTCTGGGTCTGCAGCTGGTCTTTGTGTGTGGGGGGCTGCTCTGCTTCCTGCTGACAGTGGTGGTCCTGCGCAGGAGACGCGGGGTTCAGGAGCCACAGGCAGGCTGTAAGGGAGGCTACGAACTGGTGAATGGGCAGAAAGCACCAGAAAACTATACGTCTAAAGAAACAGAACTCATGGGAATCAAAACCTGAAGCGAGTGAGACAGAGATTGCCAGCTCTGACCTGCACTAGTACTGCACTCTTGTTCAGCCCCACCATGCCCCCCCACCAGCATTCACCTGTAGGCTCTGACTGGAGGGTTTAAGATATCATCTCATCACTCCTCAAATTTCTGCATGCAGTGTTGAGGTTGGAGCCTAGAAGCCAAACTAACACAAACTATGTTCTGCCGCTGCAATGATCATTTAAACTCTACTCATTATATTTGCCATGTGTAAATATGCCAACCCTGATTCACTCCGCTCTGGATGATTACTGCGTCTCCCCCTGGTGTCTCCTCCTGTCTCCTCCTGGTGTCTCCTCCTGGTGTCTCCTCCTGGTGTCTCCTCCTGGTGTCTCCTCCTGGTAATTCAACACTAGTTCTGGTTCGTAATTTGTATTACTAGTCATGTACAAAGTCTGTTAGTATTACAGCCTCTAAACTGGGACACAGCATGAGTTCATAGCTAACGCTGCTGCTGCCTTTATCATGGTGCATTGTCATGAATTCAGTCTAACTTGGATATGAAACATGAATCTTTGTATTTTTAGAATTAAAAAATCACATTCATTTACTCTTAATGGCCATAAGCCATTATGTCATATTATGTCTATATTTAGCTAATTAAAGTTGTACAGATAACCTTGTCCTGCTGCAGTAAATGTAGTTTATATATTCAGAAACTACAAGATATAACAAATCTTGAATGAACAGTTTAAACCCTATAACAACAAAAAAGTTACATTTAAGAAGAAGAGCTATCATTTGCAGTGGACTCTGGAAAAAATAATTTACACAGTCTTGTACATTTGCCTTTTTCTCAGTTTTCCAATAGTTTTTTACACCAGATCAAATGCTAGTCACAAGTATTGAGGTAGCTGATTGACTTGGTTCCAGCCTTCAATTAGGATATTGTGAAATGTCAAAGGAGGATTGAATGGGAAAATTAACTTCCGGAGCCAGAGTTGCCGAAAAAGTGGACGGTTAATGTTGAGCTTTATTTGACTCTAAACAGGATCATAATTTACTAAATGAACATCATGCTATATTTGGGAAGATTTGGATATTAGGGTATTAGGATATTAGGAAAAGGCGTCATTTTATCATAGACTTACGATCAGACTGTTTTTGTTTTGTTGTTTTACAACCAGTGGAGACGCCCCCTGCTGGACAATAGAAAGAAGGATGGTTTACTAACAGTTGGATCAATGTAGGATGGATTCAAAAGTCAAAATGTATATCTAAAATGTTGTGCTTTATTATGTTTTTCATGAAACAATATAAATCCCCAAAAAAACCCATGATGAGCAGTGAACACACTTTTTTGTATCATTGTTTTAAAGTTTTGTAATACTGTTCATTATTAACACTGTGAACTTCCAATCAAGTATTTTTCTATGCAATACATGTATAAGCTGTTTTTTAAGATTAATTTTAAATAACTTCTCAAAAAATATTTTCTCTAAGCTTCCTAAATTTCATTAAAAAAATATTTTTCCTGTTGTGTCATTGTTTTTTCATGTAAAATGTTGTGTACATACTTGATGAATTGTCTATTTTGTGAAATGTTTTTTTAAAACTTTTTTATTTTTTTACTTAATGAAATTAGAGTCCTGAATATTATTTTAGTGCTGTGTAAAATTTACTTTTATTAAAGGAACCTGAACAAAAGTCTTTGAGCAGCAAAAAAGCCAACTGGTTTACTAGGATAATGCTTTTGAATCTTTTTGCGTTTGCTTTATTACCTGCACTTCAGTCTGATGTGGTTCAGGTTCTTTGTTCCACATTCTGAGGTAAAAGTCAGAATTCATGTGATTTCTACCTTTTCATTACAGATTATAAAATTGAGCCAGAAAACATCATTGTGTGAATTTTAATAAATCTCTGAGCACAAATTACGTTGTTTCGAGTTGTTTTTCTGCTGCTTCACGTGATATTTATAAAAACCAATGAATAATTCCTTTTACAAAAAATAAGTTATTGTTTAAAGGTTACTTATTATGCAAAATACACATTACCATGTTTTTCTAACCCTATGTGACCCAAGTCGGTCTAAAACCCCCCCAATTAAGAGAAAAGTCCATCCTCTCCGTCTTTGGCCTGCTCCACTTTTCAGAAAATGTGTGCTCAAACAAGCCGTTTGGAGATTTTCTCTTTGTGACATCACAAGGGCAGTAACCCCTCCCCTAGGTGGGTGACACTCCCACAGCCAAGTGTTTGTTCTGCCCTCTGAGTCTGTCTTCTCACTGTGAACAATTGGGCATGGACGAGAAGGAAGAACAGAGTGGATTTTTAACAGTTAACTTCACAGACATGTTTTGGGGAGCTCTGAGACTAAATTAAAACTGGAGTATAATATGTGACTTTTAAGTGACACAGAAACACAATGTAAGTGCTTTCTGCCTCATTGCAACAGCTCGTGATTCAGGAAGTCTTTCAGCTGCAGAAAATAGAACATGTTGCTGAAAGATGAACTGAAGGGGAAATCTTAGTGATTGATTTTTTTGTTTGTTTTTAAATCAAGCTTTAAACTTAATCCGCCCCAATCACCAACCCAACCAGATTTACCTCTTACGTGTTACCTGACATCAAAATCACATTCAAATAATAAGCTCAAGGGAAGAGCCCAGAACTGATGCTGAACCTACAGACTTGTATTTCGACTCTTTGGACCTCTAACAAAGCTGCTGTTAAAGTTGAGTTTAGAGTGAGAACATGCCTCTTGTGTGAGTGATGATACCCGCTGACCAATGAGGCGTCTGTATGGTTTGGCTTGGAACCAGAGTCAAGGTGAGTGTAGCCTCAAAGATCTGTTAGCATGAATAGTTTCTTGATATTGCTCATGCTGAAGGTTCATAAGTCCTACTAGTAGACGCTTTCCAGGATAAAACAATGTGCAAAAATAATTTTGTTGAAGTTAAATTTCACTTGTGAACTGTTCTATAACAAAAAGTTTCACTGAATGACAGATTTATTAAATTGAAGAGTTACATAAAATACTTACAGTCTTAATCAAGGTTTTTATATGAGACATTCCTGAGCTGTAGTGATGAACATGCACAGACACACAAACATGTCCAGACAGCAGCTGTTGTGTTCAGAAAAGATGCAGCTGGAGCACAAACAACTGTTATCTGATGCTGAGACATCAGTCGTGTGAGCATGATGAAACATTTTATTGCAGTGCAGCCAACAACTAATGTCATGTCAGCTTCAACAGAGAAAACTGAGTCAATGTATGTCCTTCAAAGTGTGTTTATGTTATGTTTTGCCCATGTAATCCTGCACAAACTTTTCATCCTTGTCATTTTTATAAATAACTGCAGATTAACATGTCGACTTCTCCGAAAAGCGAAGGGTCAGAGACGGACAGGAAACAGTGTTTCAGCCTAAAGGTCCATTTCATCATCAAGAGGCTGCTGCAGCAACAAAAAGAAAAAAAAGAGGAACTGAGTGTTGCTCCTGTTGGTTCTTTTAGGATTTAGTTAAACAATATATGCAGCAAAAGAATCAGTTATGTTTGGCTGTTATATAAGCCATGGATATTGTGGTTATTCAGAAAAGTACATATTTAATAGTTGTTCACAAACAGAGCATACTTTTTTGGGAAAAAATACGAGCATCAAAATCCTGTCATCTGAGTTTTTTTGGAACATTGTCATGACACTTGATCAGTGCTGACATACTCCTGTATGGGCATGTAATGATCAATCAAACTTCATTCAAAAAACAAAAGTTAAAGTTATTGTCTCCTTACAGGCAGACCTGCCAAATCATCAATTCAGAATTTTTAGCATCCTTTCATTCTGTTTATTGATATTAAAACACAATTGTTTTGGGTTAACAGTACTGTAGTAAGACAGATTTCAGCCGACTTCAGTGTGACTTATTAGATAGAATGAAAATGTGGAGATAGATGGACAGGAGCTCAGACGAGCAGCATCATGAGGCTGGGGTTTATCAGCAGAAATTTGAGCTGAAAGCTAATATTAGCATGGTTCAAAATATTTTTTTACAAGGATAAATATTTTTGATTTATGTTAAGTATTACTTCTCAGTCCAAAAACTTACAGAGTTGCTCTAGAAGGTTGTTCAGTCAGCAGCAGTAAAAAAAGAAGTAACTGTTTGGGATAATCTGATTGCTGAATGTACGAATGAAAGGGAAACTTTTTTGATGAACAGTTCTCAATTATATGACTATTAAAAAAAAAAGAATCAATCAATAGACCATATTGATGGATGTCACATGTTCCTGTGACATCATCCTCAAATACTGTTATCGTATCGTACTGTTTTATTAAGTCACATAAGCTTTGAGATTCCTACAACTATTTTCTCGTTTCATGAAAATCACTGAAAAGAGAGATCAGACCACATCTGATATTGAAAACATGTTTGATAACCTGTTAGCGATCAGATCGATGACACTGAAGACAATGAACCTTGAAAATTACAGCGGAGTTTGAAGATAGACCTCAACTGTTAATATGACGTTTTTAAGAGTAAAATTATGCAGTGAGTTTTGACCTCAGGCTTTGATAAATTTGTTCAAAATGAACAATTAATATCTAGAATAATGTACCGGCTTTGTACTTGATTTTCTTTTTATTTGGAAGCTATAAAATGAAGATTTTGCAAGATTCTCAACTCAACCTGAAATAAAACTGTACGACATGATAACAACATTTGAGCCTACCTCCCTGAGATTGACCTCACAGGAGCATGGCTTTGGATTAATGGTCTATTACAGGTTTTTTTTAAGATTGCTATGACAATTTTTTCAATACTTTTAACAAATTTCCTTAACTCGTAACAGTTATGACAACATCTGTCTGTGAAGGCTATACAGTTAACATATTTCTTGTTGCATTGACACAAAATGCCTAACACACATTTAAAATGCTTCTTAAACTTCTTTCACACACAAGCTCAACCAAGACCTAAACAATGGATTTTTACTGCAAAATTTACAAATGCTTTCACACGGTATGTCAGGGCAGATGACATCATGTTCTAAACCTAACCTATAGGATAAAGTAAAAGTGAAAAGCTGTTCATATCATAGATTAAACACAAATATATCCTCTCTATTTTTTCCCAAATACTGAAAAAATCCTGATTGAAGTTATGCAAATAGATCATCACAGCTGATTCCCATCTAGGAAACAAACTCAGGTGTGGAGGTTCTTTCAATTGCATGACCATATGGTATAAAAATGACCTCTTTGGGTTGATCTTGTGTGGAAAAGGAACAATACAGAGCAACACAAAGAATGTAAGAAAATGCCTGCACGAGGGAGAGGAAGAGGAAGACAAGAACCAGGACAAGGGAGTGGAGTGGAACAAGGTTAAGGCAGAGGAATGCCTAGACGAGGAGTATGTAGAGGGAGAGGAGTTAGAATGTGTGGTGGAGCTCAAAGAAGGGCCAGAGCTGGGGTAACTTATGAGCTACTATCGTAGACCATGTCATATACAATGGGCTATCATACAGAGAGGCTGGTGAACGTGTACAGCCAAATCTCAGCCGGGATACAGTGGCATCAATTGTCCGGAATTTTCGAGAAACCAACAGGTAGGATATTGTATGAGGGCTTCTCCTACTGCAAAGTGTAAATCATTTTACAGTACTGTATGTAACTGTATGCCTCTGGTCTCTAATATGCAACTGTATTTTGTCTCTCTAAGGATTCAACGTCTGTACCTCCCTCAGGGGGCACAGGAAAGCTCCTAAATGAAGAACAGGAACTTGCCATTGACAACATGGTGATTGCTGACAATAAAATTAAACTAAAGGACATTCAATCCAACGTTGTAGAGGACAACCTTGACTTCAGGAGCAATCAGCATGACATCCATTTCTTGGACTCTAGCTAAACACATAGTCAGAATGAAACAACTATACAAAGTTCCTTTTGAAAGGAACGGTGAGCGCATCAAATAACTCCGTTGCCATTACGTCCAGGTAAGGTTATGCAACACAGTCATTACTGTACTATACATAGTGTATTTTGCAGTAAACTATTCTATACACCACGAGTAAAGCAGGACAAACAGGATGTATACAGCAAAGCATTTACACACATTGTGTCTGATTATTTCAGAGTCATTGAGTTGGAGGCCGATCAAGTCCTCATGAAATGATCTACGTTGACACAGCTGGCTTTAGCTTGGCGAAAAGGTGTCGGCACGGACGAAACATAATTGGCAAAAGGCCCGCAGTTACCGTGCTGGGCCAGAGAGAAGCCAACATCACCATGTGCGCCGCAATCTCCAACAATGGTGCACTCCTGCAAACAGTAAATGTACAACACTGACTGCATTCTCTGGTTTTTAGAAGACCTGCACAAAAGACTGCTACCAGAGGCAGAAAGGGGACAGGTGAGACCACTTGCCAATATATGTGATCACATGGGACAATGTGGCATTCCAAAAATCCTGTGCAGTCACAGACTGGTTTGACACCCATCCGAGGATGATGTCCCTTTTCCTGTGTATAACTTTTATCTTCACAAGGATCCAGTCTTAACTTTGAGGGGAAATTCTTAGAAAATGACACGATTCTTGTCCACTTTCCTCAACCCCATTGAGGGGTTTTTCTCAGCCTGGAGATGGAAGGTTTTTGACCATCGTCCACAGGACCGAATGTCTCTCCTGGATGCTGCATGCCAAGACACCAAGACATTTTGAATTTTCACATACAGTAAATGGCAGCTATATTGCATATTTTTCTTATCTTACAAATAAAGCCTTCACTGAAGCAATTCTGTCTCTGTCTTCTTAATTTTTTATAAGCCACATTCATTCTATAAAGCTATTCTGAGATGGGTCATCCATTTGTTTTGTATTGAATTCCTGCAGCAAATGAAACAAAATGCATGCATTTACTAAACCCAACAAA